CCGCAAGTGTTGCATCTCTGACCCGCTACTTCCTGCTGCAGTACCATTTACAGCAGCTCATTTTTCAGCTCATTCATCACGGTTACAGTATATGATGAACACCACCACACCACAGAGAAAAAGAAACTGGGTATGAGGACAGAAAAAAATGACAATTAAATGAGAGAATGAAAAAGAGAAAAGATGAGGAAGGGTATGCATGTGAGATGGGAAGAGAAAAATATGAGATGTAGACAGCCAGAGGCCAAAGGGTCAGTGTTCGGCTGGTTAGCCTCATTATTCCCTGCTGGTAGATGTCCTAACTACACCATCTGGCTGCACAGAGCATCCAGCAATTAAGGCTTACTATTTTAATTCATTTGCTTTTAATTTATTTAAATAATAATAATAATAATAATAATAATAATGATTCTATAATATTTTAGAGATTTATCTTTTACTCACCCTCAAGTTCCAAAAGTTATTTTCAAAAATTTTGGTAACTAAACTGTATTTTTCAGTTTTTAAAAGATCCAGTTACATTTTTGATAGTGGCACATATTTTTTATTCCAGACAATGCATACAATTTTAAAATCTTTTTTTGAAACTTCAATTGATAGATGCAGTTTTTAATGAAAATGTCAGTCAGATCAAAAAGCAGAAGCCATAATATATTACAATTCACATCATCTAAATTTATTCAAATAGTATAAATTCAAATACATTAAAAATTTGTTTATTTTGTTATTTTTTTTAATAATATTTTTATTATATTATGTTATATTATATTAAAATATTTATTATTATTATTATATAATATATATGTTTAATTTTCAAATATTTTTTAAACAATGTAAATAAAAAAATTATGAAAATAAATAAACGAAATAAATGTAAATTGATTTAAATAAAAAAGTTCCGTTTTAATTTTAATTTTAATTGTAGTTAAATCATTGTATTTTTTCTCATTTTTACTAGTTTTTATGTATGTTTATATAGTTTTGTTGCTTTTTACTTAAGTTTTAGTTATTTTGGCTCATAAAGTTAAACTCAAATTAAAATGAGAAATGTAGCTGGAATAAAGTTTTTTTTTTTTTTTTTGTATTTGTCTGTTGTTATTGCGTGTGTTTTTGGACCGACGTGTGTCCGTAATAAAGTGTTTTTTCCCCCATACTATGGAAGTCAATGGCTACCAGCAACTGTTTGGTTTCCAACATTCTTCAAAAAGATATTCTTTTGTGTTCAACGGAAGAAAGAAACCCATACAACTTGGAACTTGGAATTTTAGACCAACGCAAAGCCCAAAGTATACTTCATTTTTGTACATGCACGCTAGCGTATGTGTACAGTCGAACGCGTAGCCTTTCAAAGTATACTCCATTTGATAGTGTGTGCGAATGTAGGCGGTCGACACATGCACTCTAGAAAGCTTCATCTTTGTCCAGCGTCTGCTGTATTTTTCTTCAGCAGTTATGACTGATAAAAATGTCTTTGTACTCTTTAAACTAAAGTTGCGTCTCTCTCATAACCCCCTCACACAAGTGCTTGTCAATGCGGGCATCTGTTGTTGTTGCAGTCTCCGTTATTTTGTTGTTGCTGTTCCGTCTCTTTAGTTTAGTTTTTTACTGTGAAACAACGGCCCGGGCCAGTGTTGCCACCTTGTGGAACAACTGATTAGTGCAATACCAAGTCAATGTGCTCGTGCGACCTGCACGCGCATACTATTTTGGCTAAGAAATTTGCGTCATGCGCACCGTACGCGGACCCTCGTGTACGTATAAAAACTGAAGTATACTTTGGCCTTAAGAGTGAGTAAATGATGACAGAATTTTGAATTTTGTGGTGAACTATAACTTTAAACAGGCAAAAATGGAAAATGATTAAAATCATCTCATCGAACTTTTTATATCATCTGGACTTGATATAAAATATGCGTTGTATCTCCCAATATATGCTGACCTATTAAGGTATTAAAAAAGAAAAAGTCTATTTATAATTAAATCAATATTACCTATCCTAATCAATATACCTGCCTGGAATTTTTTTAATATATCTGAAGACTTTTAGCTGGTTTTGGTGTGTTTGATTTGGGTTGGAGTTACACTAGTTAAAAATGTGGATATTCATTTTTCTTACATCAATCTTGTAATGACCTCAGGGATATGAAAATGTGCTTAATAACAGCATGAACAACACATGACTTTTTCAGTATCTTAAGACAATGTTCGAAGTCATGTTCTGCACCATGGAAAAACTTGAACTAAGTTATGTGAACCACATACTCAAAACAGAACCACCTATGATAAGTGATAAAAGTATCGAGTTAGTAGTTAGCACCTGTAGTGCATGTTGCCTGTTTAAGGGTTAAAGGTTCCTTTAAAGCTCAAGCCCTGCCCACGTTCCTCATTCATCTGCATTGGTGGTTCAGTGGGAGGCCCGGGTTCGATTCCCAGCCAATGCAATTGCTGTTTTCTTTCAACTGTGCTTCAGGGATTTTCTTTATAATGAAAACTATGTATGTAAAGAAACTCACCAAATCTAAATTAATAAGTACACAACTGCATATTAAGCTGAAACTTCATCCACATTCCTTGGCCTGGGTTAGATTCCCAGCCAATGTACATATGATTTTTTTAAAAACTGTTCTTCAGAGATTCAGATGTTGTGAAACATAGTATGTGAATATATATATATAAATAGTAGCGAGTATCCCGGTTCCAGATCAGCGTCACCCTGGAAACGCCGCTGCCACACTGATCACAGAAGCACAACACCTGTGCGTGATGAGTGGCGCACCTGGAGCTCGTTCCCGCTGGCCATAAAAGCCAGGAGAAGAGGAACCAGCGGGGAGTTGAAACGGAGCTCCAGGCGACATTAATGCTTGTTTCTCCTTATCCACAGACTCCGACGGCACCCCAGGAGAGGGATCTGCACCACGGCACTTCACCCCACGAGCACCACGTTGAGACGGGCACCGAGCACCATTCCTCCGAGCACGTGTGATCAGTGTGTGGGCAA